CTCCAATCTATTTACCTTTCCTGGGTAAAACCACAGTTAACAAGTACGCTTGGGGCGCCGCGATGGTGGGATTCCTAAAAGATTCATTGATAGACACCAAGGCTCTTCTTGATCAGAGGAAAACCGGAAGCATATCTGGGTTTCTTTATGCTATCATGGTAAGGTCTTTATTTAATGAAGTGAAAATTAATTACTTTAATTCATAATACATACTCACAATTCTTGTTCTATGTTACTTTATTGTAGGTGTTTGCTTTAGAAAGGTTTGCATGCGTCCGTGCGGAACTCTCTCTAACTCCTCCAGCCAAAAAAATTCCTCTTATGTTAGCCTGGATGGATGTTTTGTCCAAAGCCCCAGTGAAGGGAACCAGGATAGAAACATTCCGAGATTTGCTTCAGAATATGAAGAGAGATGAGGTAATACTTTATTTTAGGATATAAACTGCAAATATATTGTGATGTATTCTTCTTGTAAGTTAAATGCTTGATTATATTTATGCAGGTTGTTTGGCAGCCCTACCATGATTTTGGTGAATTATCCGATGAGTTCAAAGATCAGTTGTCGATGATCTATCTGCGGGTTCCGTGTATTTGTTTCAATGCGGTCGCCTACAACAGTCCGGACAAATGCTTTAGGCAACTCGGACTGAAGAAATCAGAGTTGCAACGTCTATCGAGAAGCAGGAGTAAACATACGAAAGTAAAGTTTAGCCAACATAAAGGACAAGATTGGCGAGCTGTGCGTCCGTTTTACAGAAAAGTGAATGAAGAGTAGGATAACCGCCATAACTATTCTGTGAGGAAATCTGAAGCTCCACAGCAGGTAATTTCAAGTTTTTTTTCCAGTAACCGCCATAACAAGTTTGTTTTAATTTGACACTTTGTGATGCCATAGTATGTCCCACTTACCAACAGAGGTAGACATTGGTGATGCCATAGTATCTGATCAGTTGTTTGTTGCGTTAAATTTTTTTTTTTTATATAAAGAAGTTTAAAGTTATATTTTCATTCATTTAGATAGAAGGGTATAGACTCTTTAGCGGAAAATTAATTCATAATGTTTGCATCTTTTTGCTGAAAATAACTATTAGGGAAGAGGAGATGAGTCTCAACCAGTTCCAATTCCCTAATTGCTGAAAATAACTATTAGGGAATTTGGTTCAACAATTGAATTATTTCCAGTTTGTTTTGTACATCATTCTTTTGAATAACTGGCAGGGAAGACAACCTCCATCTCATGCAAGCCCAAGTCATCATAACAATGACGGTAATGAGGTCGAT